CTTTAATAACACTTAAAAATCAAATATCCCCTACTTTTTTTGAATAGTATATTAAAGAAAACATTTGCTTTACTTCTTACCGACACAGTTGAAATAAATTAAGACAACCTTATTTTGTGCTCCATGTTAGATCGCGAAACAACAAGGTTGAGCACGACTCGCCCAAATTATTGAAGAAAACATTCATAACTTTGTCTACACAGTAGAAATAAATAAGACAACCTTTGGTGGATGCTCTATGTTAAAATTATATTGCGGAACAACAAAGCCGAACAGGCTCACCCAGACAAACAGACATTTAATACATCCTAATCAATCTACCACGGCTAAACACAAGTCACGCGTCACGCATGCACGTGCGTGACCCATATCAACCTTTTTCTTCAAATACTGATATACATATAATATGTTATTACTATACCTTCTAGATTCAGATTCAGATACTTTCATGTCGAACACTTTAATAGCCGAGAACTAATACCAGATAATCCTCCATTCTAGCATCCAAGATTTTCTCTGGCCCGTTCATTATCAAAGTTTATGTCAGTCGCAAACCTTTTTCGATCTACATGTATTGCATTAGAAGTTTCGATATTTACACCAGGTATAATATTGGTCAATTTCTTCGGGGTGAACCATTTCCTCTTAACGCCTTCAGAAATTTATTTGCAAAGGGTTTACTTTCCCGTTCCACGCTGTTTGCGACATTTCAACAGATCGTGAACTTGAGCGCGAACTGACTTGACTACTCAAGTGTTTCAGACAAAGTAACAGTTGGGACACTTGTCTCTTACGGCAAGGGCCGGTAACTCAGTGAATAGTATAGGTATTTTAGAACTATGACCCGTTATTACCTTTTTGGGGGGTTTCCAGGTTAGATCAAGATGTTGGCTGAGAAAATTCATCGATACACTGCTGCTTGGATCTTGACTAAATGTGAACGATAAGCCAGATCTATCTCGCTGTGTAACCCGACTGATGGACCAGGATCGATTTGGATGCAGAAATTTACGACAGTTTCGTCATATATTCATGAAAATGGGAAATCGTAATGGCATGCCCCGAGGAACTATAGCTTACACTGCTGAAAAAAAAGCTGTTTATACAACTCACGGACATGTTTACATGAAAATTAAGGAGGTTTAAGGTGGTTGTAAGATCCATACATTTCTCAACAAAACATCCCTTTTCATTAATTAACATGACACAATCACAAACAATATACGAAATAAGCCTACCGATATGAAGCATGCTATTTATCATATTCAAAAAAGGTTACGTTTGAATAATAAATATTAATGGAGACATTTAAAAATAAACACTGTTTTCACTATGATATATGTAGGCCCACCCGTTCCAATATTATTACCGCCTAGAAGGGGGACAACAATAACGAAATATATCGGCCTATAAGGATGTAAAGGGCAACATGTTTTACCGTTCGGTAAATTTATGACCTCCATCATTGGGACATAAAGACCAAGACTCTTGTTATAGAGTGAGTTTACAAGATAATAACCCTTACCCTAACCTTAGCGAAACATAAGTCCACCACGCACACGGAAGCTTTAAATCAGGGACAGTCGAGATAACTCCACAAAAGAAAAACATATTTCAAGATATTATGAATAACCTACAACATACACATCATACCATAAGATACGAATATTCTGGAAAGTGAGTCTTTATGTATGATGGAAGTCATACCGAACGCTCAAATCTGATTGCTGTTTACCTCCCTATAGGCCGAGTTACAAGGTGTCGGTAACAAAATTTCAATTATCCTGTCGGTGGTTACATGTAATATGACCTCTTGGGACTAAACTTTCATTAGAGTCCATTTCTGACTGTGTGGAACACATTCACATTTCAGAGCTGCATATAGTTGCACCGGCTGCAATGAAAAAGTTTTCCATACAGTTTTATAAACTGAAATATATTTGTGATTTCTCTTTTGATAACAAAGGTGTGGGCGATATGCCACGATAGACCCCTCACTTCCCAATTGAATATGCCACTGACTTTTATTCCAAATTAATTAATAATCCTACGGTTGCAGCCTGTTTTGTCAATTATTCTTGTGTCAAACACATCTTTATTGAAAATCGTCTTCAAGCACATCTAATAAATATATCAAAGAAATACTGGTATTTGATTTTTCTTATTAATGTATTGAAACGTAGTAAGATCATGAATGTGTAAAGGGAAATAACCCATTCTAAGCAGTATTATATTATTTTGAAATTTATTTCGATCAGCATTTCTTAAGTTTTGTCTACATCGCAGTTCGGTCATTGCGTCTTGTATGGGCATGTTAACAATCTGGGTAAGAACATTCGGGTGGTGCCCATTTTTTTGATTGCTTATGCGCTGCCCCCGATCAAAATCACGAATATTTACCTAAAGCAGGTAGAAAATATGAATTTAGTATTCAGACAAATGTGATGAAAATTACATACAGGTCTGATGGATTCTTACTAATACTTACATTTTAAAAAACACATTTTATACTCCATGTGTGGGGACCGACGATGACTAAGTGAGTAAGAGGGTTCGCAGGCATGGAGGTCGCGGGTTAGATCCCGTTGTTGGCCGAGAAAGTTCATCGGGATATTCCGGGGTGGTTTTCCCTTGTCAGTGGTGCAGGGCAGGGGCCTGGATAGGACATCTGCCTAGTCGTTCGGATGGAACGGAAGAAAAACGAGGTCCCATGTACACATTGGCGTGTATGTAAAAGATCCATTGTCAGCTGGAATTCGATATAAGAGTAGGTCGTAGCGCCGCCAGGGGCGTGGAGACCTATGGTTTTTCATGAGGAACAAGATCTGGTCCTGGCCCCCCAAAAGACATTATTTATATGTATGTGTGTGTGTGTGTGGGGGTGGGGGGGTGGGGGCTGATTCACGGTATATGTTTGACACTAGTTAAGCATTTTGATTAGGATTATAATGTTGAAAACCGCATTGAAACCATTTGCGAGACGGCGCAAAAACTCAAGGGGACGCAAAAATTCAAAACCATGACGCAAAGCTCACCATTGCGTCCCTCTCACTTAGCCCCAGAGCGCCGCTGCACGGGCAAAATTTCCCTCATAGCACACTGTGATAATGGCCGACACCAATATTGTCCTTTAAAACCTGAACACCGAGAACACGTCCTTGCTCTAAATCAAGAGGGACTGAAATATAATTTACCCGTTTCTGTCCATCTCTTGCCAATAAAACATAATGGGGTGGGGTGTTTATGAAAATAATGTGGTAGAGACTGGTGAAGAAACACAAAATAATTGTATAACGCTCCTATCACCAAATGGCAATCTGAATGCAAAAATAATTCAGACGGTTCAACATTAGATTATTTTCCAGGGCGTTATCATTTGATAGGTATGATGCTGGCTCACAATTCCGGTGTTGGCCGGGAACTCTCCACAGGATTTCCTAGTCTGGTTCCCCTTGTTAGTTGTGCATTCTGGAAAAGTAGTCTAGTCGTTCAAATTGGGAGCAAAACTGAGGCCTGCCCGTAAACTCATTGGCATGCACTTAAAAGGAACCCCGACAGTTGACGTGTAGGTAGAACGTCGAAAATCTGGTTGAATGTATAATAATTTTTACATGTTCAATATCTTGTTGAACTCTTGTGGTGAAAAATTCCTGTAGAGTTAACTATACAGAAATGTTACCCTTTACCCACGGCATGGCGTATACCCGTCTTCATTATCCCGGTTGGGAAAGAATGGGCGGAAATTTCCACGAAACCATTTATGTCAGTTACTTCCAATAATATGGCACTTTTGGTATATATGGAAAGTAGAAAAATACTGGATTCCCCGGAAAAGACCCATGGGGCGCAAACAGAAGACAAATGTAAGGGTGTCCTTAACTGGCAGCCTGTCTCCCCGAGCGCTTCTTATGATTTAATGCCTAACAGTTGTGAGAACAAAAAGTTGGCAGGAGATAATCCAAGAATTTACTTTGGCTAAATAATGGATTTTTTCTGAATCCAGGCTTCGTAAAATAGATTATTGCGTCACGGCGTAGTTTTCTTTTAATTAAAATATTTTTGAGAAGGATTTGAAGCAACGTTTTGATAGATGAATTAGTTTGAATATGTTTTAGTCCAAAATACCATTAAAACACACAGTTTTTATTCGGGAAGGCATGTTTAAACTCTATTTTATTTCATTTTATTTTATCACCTCTTTTATATACATGTATATATCATAAACGCGCATACTACCTATGAATTAATAAACAGAGTAATAAAGAGCAATAAAATTATATTTTCCTAGCGATTGATATTATCATAGCTCCATTCATTTTTTGGAAATCCACGATTTTATAATCATTATCTCTGATTACAGAATGGACTGAAATGGGTTAAGTTTAAGATATAACTCACTTGAATGTCATGACTACCCAATTATCGGAACATGTAAGGCTGCATGCACATAATTACAGGAAACAATTTATGATCTTTTAATGTAAAACATCGTTAATAAAGATTGCGAATATTAAAAAACTCACTGAAAACAATTACATTATATATACACCTATGGGAATAATAAAAAAATCGAAGCCTATCTTCTTTCTTTTTTCATTATTTTAAACCGGCAAATATTCCTATAATTAAGACATTTCATGCATTATCATAGATGATAAAAAGTAATCAGCCACGGATCATGATGGAAAGTATACCTATCCCATTTTTCTATTTTTTTTATACCTTTGAAAATAACGTTACTTCTATTTTCCTTCTCTATAAATCATTCTCGGGGCTCATCAAGTAATGAATAATTAATAAGAATGTACAGTGTATGCAATGTACCATAACTAATATCAGATTTAAAAGTGTAACCCACACACCAACAGGAAATTAACCATGCGATACAGCATGTTTTAAACGACGTAAAATATTTAGATTTTGTAATGTATTCTTGTATCTTCTCAAAAACTTTATCCATTTCTTGTCTCAACTACGCAAAACATAACTCAATAAAGTGCTATTATTGATAGTCTTTTTATTTGTTTGAACGAATATTGCCTGATATTACAGCCATGTTTAACGACGCAATTTACCATGGAGACAGAACCACATGGAATTTGTAAGTTTTCATTCTTATTCCGAGTTAACATGGTCTAGTTAAAATGACAATATAGAAGTGGTATGTACTTAAAGCCTGTTTTTACTTTATTCACTTTACACCAATTTGATTATAATCCATTCATAATTAACTAAGAAATCTTTATTCATGGTCGCAAAACAATTTAGTCAATTTTCGAAAACAGTCTGAATTTTCTCAAACGCCGATGTCATCGTAGTGACCAACAGTTTATAAGGAATGTTTACTCAACAGCTGTATACTAGCTGGCAGTATATACTTTCAAACGTATATTGTGCAATACGTTTCAAGGTAACTAATTATTTTGTTGATGACCTTCGAATATTGTAATATTGTCAAAGCACATTTGAACGGTAACGAGATATACTCAACAGTGCTCCTTTAAGATACGTTATCTAGTTTCACTTTTTCTATAGGAGTTGTTCTTCTTGGTAACATCTTTCTGTACACCACTCTGCAGACCAGTAACAAAAAGCTACAGAGTTCTCCAATAGTAATCGCTGATAAACCCAGCCATAGACCCAACTGACCACCAATATCACTGATCAAATTCATTGACTGAAATATATTAGAAATAAATAAAAAATTTAATATCAGCTATCCACTGTGGTCCCTTTGATATGTCACGAAAAAAGGTAAAGTTAGGTTAATATTATCGCAAAATCTTACATCAGAATTTCATCTCTATTTTTCTGTTATAACCAAATACTTATTTGGTATGGTTTTAGGATGTGTTTGACTAAAGCCAATACGGACACAAAATCCCAATCTCCAAATATTATTTCAGATGCAATATGCGATCTCATCTGAATTCTTCCCTAGCAGATTGAAACATTCTAATAGTAACTCAGATACTAAGCAAACAAGCATGTTCTGAACATTTTTAAAAACTGAATATACATTTTTTTACCTCATATGATTTCTTATCTTCAATTCTTTTGAAGACCAATTCTTGAAAATACACGCGTAGTTTTACAAATTCTGTTGAGCTGAAATAATCATATATGAAATTAATTATAAAGAAAGTTGTTTCCATATTTTTAGCCTATATTATTAAAACAATGGCCATATTTCGTTCATTTCTATAGTTTAAATCTTGTTATATTTGTCTCTGTGACGACTGAGTCTGGAATAGTGTTTAAATATAACAGCTTTCTGTTTGATATGAGAGGGGCGGGTGGAGATGGGTAGCCAATGAAATGTTTTTATAGTGGGACTTTGTTCGCAGTGATCAAATGCGGACTGTTTTATTTGTCTTTGTGGCGATGGAGTCTGGAAGAGTGTTTAAATATAACCGCTTTCTGTTTGATATGAGAGGAGCGGGTGGTGATAGGTAGCCAATGGAATGTTTTTTAGTGGGGCTTTGTTCGGAGTGGTCAAATGCAGACTGGGAGTTAAATATGAATAGTGACCGCCAACACAAACAGGTCTGATACGTAATGAGCGGAGACCATCGGAAAGGTAAACAAACCAAACGAAATTTAATTAATTCTTTAAATTAAATTAGACAGGTTCTGAGTACTAGTATGGTGATCGTGTTTCAATCTATTTAAATTTCGGCCATCCCATGGTCTTGAGAGTTGACTGTAGGTTTGTCATGCGAATAGACAGATTTGCATCTCGAAAATCAGACAGCAACAAGATTGAGGCCATTGCCATATTATTATAAAATAAGTAATCAATGCTTTTATTATAATATGTAAGTCAATAATTATGTCTAAATTATAAATTATATAACATTTGAAATGAAATGAAATGAAATGGGGTTTAACGTCCTGCTGTTCTGCCCCTATACTGGGCTAATGAAGACGGGCATACGCGCGATACAGTGTGCTATGAGGGGAATTTTGCCAGGGCAGCGGCACAATCGCCTACTCTTATATCGAATTCCAGCTGCCAAGGGATCTTTTAGTGCATTCCAATGTATACACGGGACTTCGGTTTTTCGTCTCATCCGAAGGACTAGACAGCTCTCCTTGGCAGGCCCTCCGTTCTGCACCACTGACAAGGGGAAACGCCAAAAGAAATACCAATAGGCAGATTTAGCTTTTACACATGATGCATCTTTCACGATGGCACGTAAATCAAAATTTAATGTTCATAATATACAATACTTACTCCAATTTTGAATATCCTCTGAAATTACTGCTACTACTTTCCACCCTACGTGTTAGTTGATTCTTCAAATATAATAGAGAAATTGGTAAATAAGCTTATGAATTTAGAAATTCTCCACACCCCTCGACATTAAAAACACGAATTAGAATTTAATAATGGTCCATTTAAATCAATATCTTATACCGTAAAGGTATGGGCTCCTGATATCCAATAAGACGCAATTGACATTTTAAAATTACTCTGCAATAGTATCGGACGCCAATTGTATCGTTGCGCCTTGATGAACGAGACAAAATGTCAAAGCGTAAGACTACAATGGATAACTTGGCCTAGGAGTACGTCAGCCAAAGATAAAAAAAGAGTACATTCCAAGTGATTTCAAACAACAGTTCTATGTTCAAACCATACTTCCCATGTAGACTGGACTAACCAGGCACAAGCGAATGCAATTCGAATTGGACTTATCACGTATTTCGACGAACATAACTGTTTAGACACTATAATCAAATTCATAAATTAAATATAAATCAAATTATATATTCATATTACATGTATATTAATATCTGTTTTAGACCCATTTTCGCCCATTTATATAATGTTTGGTGTTTACCTCTCTATAACGTTGTTATATGTAAGCAAACGTTATTTTGGCTGTCAATAATGTGCGAATTTGGGTTCTGAAGCGCTTATTCGATGTTTCCGGACATAGTATTCTGCTGTAAATCGGTATAATATTATATAATTACTATATATGTATAATTTGCAAAGATTTGACAGGATTTGAGTTACATGGGTTGATAAAAATGTCGCGAAGTGTCATTTAGTAGATGACAAACGCGCTGAAAAACATAATTCGATGAATGAGAACAAATAATAAAGACAGAACATAAGCTAGGGCAAAGCTCGTTACTCCAATGCTCACAAAGTTATTTTTTTGGTGTGTCTTATTTTATTTGTGCGACAAACGCGTGTTTGCCTGATGGAGCACACACGAGATTGTTAATGTCAAATATTTATTGTATATACCATCGTAATAATAAATGTTTACCTCGTACGAAGAAGAGGGCCAAGCTGCCATGGAAATGGATTTTTCATACCTTTGTTCACTGCAAAAGAAAACAACAGAAAAATACATTACAGATGATCTATAGATATCAAGATTCATTGGTGACATTAAAAAACATCCAAAAAAAAGTGTAGATAATAATAAACAAAAAGGTTGTGCAATATAAAATATCATATATTGATTTTCATTGTAAGTGAATATAAATAAATAAAATATGTTAATTGGTTATTGTTATCATTATTTTATAACATAATGTGAGGCCATTACACCTTTAATTCCATTATCTCTAAGTACTGGTAACGGTCATCCCCAATTTCGAAAATGTATAGTTCAGTTCTATCAGTAGGAAAGAAATAGCGAGCTGAAATCTCGGGGTAATTGTATCAATTTGAACAGGCGACTTTTACCCATTTTCTGGAGAAAGTCTGTTTTGTGTTTAACTTATCTTTGAGTTGTTAAACGAAATATAGTTATACATTGTAGAACCATGATCTAGGTGTCTAAATGTATTTCTCTAAGATCAACCAAGCCAGCGGACACAAAAACATAAGATATAATCAATCACATCAAACAGCACATTCAAAATGAATTAAAAGCATATTTTGTTTAAACTTAAAAATAAATAAATATTGGAAATAACTTTTCAAGCTCATTTCACTTTTGATATGGTTTATAATATGTAATTTAAAGTCCTTTCAGTGTCACTGAACTTAAAATTAATCTAAAGAAAAAAACAGTTTCCAAAATCCAAGATGGCGGAGAGTGAAATGACTTTTATCTGACAAATCGTCCATTTTAGATAAATGTTGGTTGCCATTTTGAATTTCCGCCATCTGGATTTCGGACACTATTTTTTTTCTTTAGATTAATTTTAAATTCAGTGACAATGTAAACCCTTTAAATTATAAATTGCAAACCAAATCAAACAGTGAAATGACTTTAATCTGATCAATCGGCCATTTTGGGTTCATTTTGAATTCCGCTATCTTGGATTTGGGGAAGCTAGTTTTAGAGATTATTTTTCAGTTCAATTACAACAAAAACCTTATATTTGATATATTACAAGCCATACCTTGTGTGATAATCACCCATCCTATCTGGAAATTCTTTTTTTTTTCAAATTTTGGAGGCCATTTTTGAAATCAGACAAACCCCAATCGAAAATGACGTCATAGATAAATCTTTTTTAAAAATCGTGTTTAGCTAGCAATTTCGCCTCTGGAAATGATTTGTAAAAAAAATGTCTTATTGTGACACCCGTAGTTATATGTATATCAATGGATAGGCGGCCATTTTGGAAAAGATGGCCGTAACGACCACCAGGGGGTGCTGCTGAGGTGGATCCACATCCCAAAATAATCAGTAGGGTTGATGCCATCTATGTGCCAAGTTTCATGCTTTTAACCCAAAGTGCACGATATTTTGCTTAACCGCCCAACTAAAACAATAAAACACATTGAAACAATTTATTGCCGCTAGATTCAAGAACTTGATACGTAGAGAATAGGCTTTGATTGTCTGGTTTACACTCCTAATCCAGACCAGAATAAAATATATCTTACAACAATTAGTTAACTACCTCAAACATTTCGTGCGCAAAGTTTCAATAATATATCCAAATTTCTCTTATCGCAAATGATGATGTCACAAGCGATTCACATCCCCGAAATAGTCCGATCGTCAATGTAAATCCGTCGGCTTTTCGGGTAGAAATCGTGGAATAAGCTTTATTTTGTAGGTTTTGATGTTTGATTACAAAAAACCAATGTTGACATTTTTTTTGAGTAGGTCTTCACAGTATGGCAGGCCATTATTTGAGGGTAGCCATTTTGCGATAATATTCCAAATTATTTTTTATTTTTATCTTATTTATAATGTTATCGACATATCAACTGTGATTTGGCAATGTATTAATATTGGCAGGGTTCATGACTATACTTCAGATTGTTTTCCATCATTTGACGATGATATTTCCAAGATGGCGCCCATTTTAAGCGGGAAAATCGGTCGATGCGCTGATTTCGATTAAGTAGTAGTGTTTGGTGTTAATATATATGTTTTCGGGGTCACAAATCCCATTCCTGACATTTACAACCTTGTAAAATGATCACATGTTCATATTCTTAGCATATTACCAAGATGGCGGGCATTTTGGGCGGGAAAATGAGACGATGTGCAGATTTTGATTAAGTGGTAGTGTTTGGTGTCAATATGTATGTTTATGGGGGCGCAGAACCAATTTCAGACATTTATAACCTTGTTAAATGATCACATGTTCACATATTTAGTATATTTCCAATATTGCTGCCACTTGTGGTGGGAAAATCGGACGATTAAGTAGTTGTCTTTGGTGACAATATATATGTTTTCGGGGAGGCGGATTCGATTTCTGTCATATACAACTACGTAAAATGGTCGTATGTTCACCAATTTAGCATATTTCCAAGATGGTGGAAAGTTTTCTAAACACATTATTAACATTTATTTATCATCGATTTTCCTGGGAAAGTAAAGCCTATTCCTGGCATGAAGGCAAAAAGAGGATAGCGGCAGCGTCGTGCTTACGCCATGTGCCCATCTTGCGCCTGCAACGACCACACCAAGCGCTTACTACAAGATCTTTCTACGCTCATGGCCAAGATCTGGCTGCGCGAAAAGTGTTCCCACCATGATCTCGCGGTTACCAGTCAGACCGGCATACTTTCTCACCACACTCCAGTGATTTGCCTACCAGGCGTAAGGCGGTCTCTCGCCACGACTATAGAGACTGTGCCATGCTCACTCGTCCTCATTCACTTTCAAAGCAGAAAACAACCAATAACCAAGCAACCAAGAACATTTCATAGTTTTCTTGAGGTTTCCTCTTTGGGTGCGAGACTGGAGCTGACGGACGAGGCTCAGTATCTTCCCTATATATACATACAGGTCGTAACAGCGTAGCAAGCATATGGCCAGGAGCTTCGTTCCAGCCTGGCAGCAACGCGGATGATAGTGGTGGGGACGTGGCTGTAAATGAAATCCTTGCCAAGAAGCCCTCGTAGCATAGATTATGGTATCAACTGACATCCAAGATGAATGTAGAACGAATATGTGGAATGATATTGCGCTGGAGTTCAACTACTTCATTGTTGGATAATATAATCAATGGGTAAACTCGGCACAGGCTTCCAGGAACATGCTACAAGCTTATACATAGCAGAATTGGATTCAGAAACCTTTACAGTTATGTGTTTAGAAAACGTCCTGCCACAAACAAAAATATGCTGAATGTGTGAACATTCCACCATTTCACGCAGTTGTAAATGGCAGAAATAGAATCTGCGCCCCCGAAAAACAAATATTGACACAAAAACGCGACTACGTATTCAAAATCAGCACATCGTCCCATTTTGACGCCCGACATGAAAGCTATATTGGAAATATGCTAAATATGTGAACATGTGATAATTTTACACAGTTGTAAACGGCAAAAATGGAATCTGCTCCCCAAAAAATATATCCTGGTACCATAGACGACTACTGTGGATTCTGTGCCCTTGAAAACATATATATTGACACCAACGACGACTACTTAATCAATATCAGCACATCGTCTTATTTTCCCGCCAAAAATGCCCGCCATCTTGGTAATATGCTAAGTATATGAACATGTGATCATTTTACAAGGTTGTAAATGTCAGGAATGGAATCTGTAGCCCCGAAAACATATGTATTGACACCAAGCACTACTAATTAATCGAAATCAGCACAGCGTCCGATTTTCCCGCCAAAAATGGTCGCCAACTTGGAAATATCATACTGAAATGATGGAAAACAATCTGAAGTATAGTCATGAACCCTGCCAATATTAATACATTGCCAAATCACAGTTGATATGTCGATAACATTATAAATAAGGTGAAAATAATAAAATAAGTTGGAATATTATCACAAAATGGCTACCCTCAAATAATGGCCTCCCATACTATGAAGACCTACTCAGAAAAAATGTCAACATTGTTTTTTTTGTAATCAAACATCAAAACCTACAAAATAAAGCTTATTCCATGATTTCTACCCGAAAAGCCGACGGATGCCAATTATGTAACAAACCGAATCCGACTAAAAACGGTAACTGCACTTTACCTAATGTACAGTAAGTCTACGGTTGATTGATGAACTGTTAATGAGTGTAACCATTGATTCAGCAATGTGCCTTACTATGGTTAATGGACTGTTAATGAGTGTAAGCATTGGTTCAGCAATGTGCTTTAATCCAGGTGGAAGTGATAATATCTGTTATATTACAGGAATTAATAATTCATATAAAACACAATCGTTACTTTTCGTGATGATAAAATCATATCTAGTAATGTATCTATATTTCGGTACGTCTGTCTTTGTTTTACAATTTCTTCTAGCTTATTAATTACTATGAACGACTGCTGGCTAAACCGTTTTACTTACCTAATGTTTGCATATATATTTGATAATACGAATAATGTCCTAACGCTTCACACACTTAAAAGAGTCAGTCATGAAAAAATATTTTTACAAACCAACATTAGGAGACCACATTTCTAAGGAACAATCTATTTATCTACATTTTAATTGTTGGAGACAAACTTGAATGTCAATTTCCACAACCATATTGTAGCTTATCAACAACCATTAAGTATTTGAACCGACATTGTTAACACGCCCTTCATTACTTTACATTGTGCTGTTATACATGATGATCTACTGTTACACAATAATTTATTTATAGTTTAGTTCATATATTTTCACGAGATTTGTGGTTACGGGGTTTCACAGGGTCAAACAACCAAAGTTGGATTCCACAAACAATAATATACTTACTAACACGCCTGGGGGCATTTGGCATCACATGCTTTATAATCAGCTTGCCTTGTTGTCTTTATATTTTGTGCACACCATGCTTGGAAAATAAATATTAATTTTCAATTTTACAAAAACAAGCGGTTGTCATGCAAGATACGCCCACATTTTGCATGAAAAAACGATTTTTGTACAGTCAAGGACCATATTCCAGGAAGTTACGGTCCAATACGCACAAATATCGCCAGGAACCCAGATTTTTCGGATATAAACATACATATCTTAAGTTTTATCAAAACGGAATAAATATTGTGACCTCTAGAGGGTCCAAAAGCCAAAAAAAACATAAATTTTCGAAAAATCGTTGGCCATAATCAAGGAAGTTACATTCCGATATGTGCGAATATCGACAGGAACCGTGATCTTTGGGTTGTAAACATACATTGCAAGTGTCATCAAAATCGAATACAAATTTTGACCTGTAGAGTGTCCACAAGCTAAAACGTGATTTTTCGTACAATCAGGAGCCATAATCAATGAAGTGACGGTCCGATACATGCCAATATGGAAAGGGGTGGAAGTCTTTGGGAGACAAATCTACATTTCAAGTTTCGTTAAAATTGGATAAAAATTCACAAATACAATCTGGACAGAAAACTGGGCGGACGGACATTATACGTCCACAAAAAAATGTGGTAGTTGGAGACAATCTTATGCATCGGAACTGTTAAACTTAAACACAAATGTCGCAACTTGCTGCACAATAATTATTTGCAGTAACCAAGTATTATATACAGTTGTACAACTTATGACAGACACCCACATAATTTTCGGGAAGTGGGTGGCTTAAAGTCGCAACAGAGACAAACCCTACCATCGATATCTTATGCACAGGGATTTTTAAACTTTTACAAAAAAAAAAAAAGTCCTTTATAAACCAATAATTACTTAGCGACAGGAATGTATCATAAATAACAAGTAGAGTGTGGCTTTAAGCTGCAATTGTTTTTATATGTATGGATTTTAATTGGTGTCGATGTTGATCGAGTCTTCCATAACCAAGAAGATTAAATCAATTTAGAAAACTAAGAATTAGTGAAAATAACTGGTATCCTAGAGCTTATCAATACATCCATTCTATCTGTAAAAAAATACTGTCTAATAAAAATAAATGTTTTATTTTTTTTTGTTCTTTGGCATTAAATTACCTATAGTATTGTTGGTCATGTTGCACACATTTTCTATATTTTCCACATACAAAGTTGGGTTGGAACAGTTACATTCTTCCATAATCAACATCTGGTAGCAAGTTTTCATACACGATAACTTGGAATAATTTGTCTTTAAATTTTTCATATAAATATCCTCTATTAATCCTTTCGTAGCACAGTCTGCGTGTGGAGGTTCCAATCTTATCATTTCAACCTAAAAGAAACGTCAAATTATCAAACCTTTAAGTAATATCTAAAAGTGTCTCCCAATAAGTTAAGTTGCTATATATTGTATCTAAAAGAATCACTATGAATATTACTGAAATGTCAAAGACAGCTTGATATATTAGAAAGCAAAGGCCTTTGACGTTCATCAAAATAAGGTTTAATAGTATTCCCATAATTGTATCAATATTTTGTTTGATTTTCGTTACCACATATCAATTTGTGAAGATATGTAAAGAAATGCTTAGTGAGTTTAACCCAATAAGTTAAGCTGAAGTTCTTTGATGTTCGACAAAACAAAGTTTAAGAGTCTCCCCATAATAGTATCAATATTTTTTTTGTTACCACATATAATTTGTGAAGATATGTAGAGAATTTCTTACAGCGTTTAACCCAATAGATGTTGCGTAACCCGGTGATACAGAGATACCCTCCTCTACAGGAAATGGCATGGTATTTCGTGGATGAACAACAACCTTGACACCTGCTTCTGGAGATAGAGCTGGTATGTATTCACTCTGTTCAAGGTATAACTCCAGTGAAAGGCCTGGAAAACAATAAATAAATCGTAACGGACTGTGCATTTAGGCACTTCAAGAATGTATCAATTATTTTGACTGACAGAAATCATAACTGCGTTCAGCAGATGATATGAAATTAAGATTGGGAATTTGAAGGAACCATTTACATTATAGAAAGTTGGGCGGGGTGTAAAAGATGAATAACAACAAGAAACGTGTGGCCAAGCTCTAGGCTATTTAGATCCCCATTTGAGAACATTAGTCATGGAATTCGAGAATCTTTTTTATCGAAGTGTCAGAAATATTTAGTAAAGATGCTTTTTTAAATATCAATTTTGGGCAGGAAGTTCCCGAGTTATTGTCCTGGGCTCATTCGAGTGTTATTAGAGCTGGGCAAGTTGAAATTGTTTCACTTGCTATTTTACAGAAGGTAATACTGTTAATATGTATGGTTAATTTCAACTTAAATAAGCATTATCACTTCGTCAAGAAATTAAATGTCTTAAAACAACAAAAAATTAAAATTGTCGATTTAATCAAAGTTATGAACATTTAGCAACGCATGATAACAGGTATCTTTGTTTACAAACTATCCGGTTCTTATATTGCGGTTTTGCTTAGAGATATTTTATCAGGTACTATTTATAGTTTTGTTATTTAAGCTGTTTTATAGTAACAGTAATATTAATTGACGAATCTTCAGTAATATCCGTATATACTGTAAAGATATAATTAACTTAAAGTGGGCTGATTAAACAAGGATATAGATTGGAAGAATACTTTATAATTAATTATACATGTAACTATGTATCAGGGACTGGGGTCCATACATGAAAATATTATTACTATTTGGACAATAACGTTTAATAGTTCTATTATTGTAATGAAACGGGGTTCATAAAGAAAACACTCAGGGAGCGGAATGCTCTATAGACATAAGCTATTTCGCAATCTCTTTCGGTAAACAGGATAGAGAACATTATTGACCGTTTTTTTATTAATAAAGAAAAACAAGTACATGTACATTCCGATAAATGTATGCTGCTATACCAATGACTTGTGTTAGTCCCGGGCACGATTTGTTCAAGGCTAACACTCTGTTACAGTCTTTGCCTGCAAATGGCTTTTCCATTTTAATGAAATCGGGGTTTAGGTCAGGAATTCAGTAAAAGTAATTCAAGATTTAAAAAGCGGCACACGAATTTTATAATCTGATATAACGGTTTATTGACTTATTTGGTATAGGAACAAGAAACATACACAGAATAAACCCAAACATAATTGTTCTCACCAAATAAAGGTCCAGGAAACTTAGCTTTTAAAGAATCTCCTTTATCTGGATGGTTGAATGTAAAACAGTTTCCATACTTGTGATTGTGAAAAGTTGTAAAGTTCCTGTATAAAATCAATAGTATTTCATCAACCTTCAATTATAAAGGCGTTATCTGTGTGCCTTTCCGGAAGAATATTTCTCCAAACAACTACCTCCCGCTGACAAAGATGGGTGGGTGAGTAGAGAGCTGGCCAATTAAACAGGGAGTCCCGGGTTCACTCCCAGTGTTGGTCGAGAAAGTTTTTCGGGATTTGCCTGGTTCAGGAGGTCCTGGCAAGAAAAAGCGTCCATTAGACGCTTCCTTCCAAATCGAAATAAGGGTAGACCGTAGCGCCGCCGTTAGGGCAAAATGTCCGGCATAACAAGCCGGTGATTTTAGTAATTGCGTACCAGTTTAAATACATGAAAGACAGATACACTGTGATTTTTAGTGAACATTTAAGATTTTTGCCTTGTACAAATTCACCATAAACTATGAAAGTATGGGAACATGCCCATAATCTGGAAAATCAAGTTTTCGTATAAAGTTAGGGGTTACAAATATTAAATATTAAAGATACATTATGTAAGATTTAGTTAAAGAGCTGACTATTATTGCTATAATAGCATAAAAATAGATAATGTAAAATGAAAATATTGAAAAATGTATTCAAATTATTTCATTCTAAGCCAAGTTATCACTGTTTTTAGTTTTGACAAGATGTGTACATTGTGGTTATTAGGGCAATGGTATATTGGAGATTAGCCTCGCTTTCCTATTTTTAAATTAAATTCATAAATGGCGAACCGTTCTAATCTAGTTAAAATCTCGAGTATCCGATGCCATCGAGAGTTGATTATGGTCTTGTTTTGTTAATAAATGTCTAACTAATAGTTTATATATAACATTTCAGGCCTAAAGAAAGACCTGCAGTAGGCAGAATTAGCCCTTGTCTAATGTATGTTTAAATATGCCCATTTGAATATCCAATTAGTGTAGTGGGGGATAACTTAAAGGCTCGATATGTGTGGTCTCAAATATTGAATTCGATATATTTATTCCACATGTCCTAATAAACAATCCCACCGAGTCTTTAAAAATAGCTTACTGTAGATATCTGCTTTCGGACGATTCATTCGTATGTATGATAAAGCACCCATGATTAAGTTGGAAAAAGAAATCCAATATAAAACAAAGACACCGGTCTTGACCTTAGTTTTTCGTTTACATCGTATTTCTTCGCCCAGGTTTTACCATTCCTAGTCGTGGTTTAGCCAATAAAAGTAACCAAGGCACTGTTTCACAAAAACTTATATACCCTTAAAATCGTCTTAAACTAAAATTATATCCTAACTTAAGATAGATGCGTTTCACAAAACGGTTTTAAGTTAAGCATTTTTGATAAAATCCACTAAAATAATATTTTAAGTTAAAATTTTATCCTAACTTAAAATTGTGGCGTTTCACAAAACTATTTTAGGGACATTTTTAACTATGATTTTATATTGGGGAAAAATCATTTTAATTGGGTAAGATAGATAGGAATTATCCAATAAGAAGTGTGGCACTTCGGTATTTTCAAAGTATCACTGAAAGGGTGGGTCTATGGGACTGACATTTCAAATCTTGAGATCGGAACCTGTGATTTTTGGTGTATTAGTTTTAAAGTTGTTAAAGGGCGTATGCCTCTATTTTTTTAGTAGGCCTACTATAAATGGGTCTAAAACACATATTAATGTAATATGCGTGTATGTAAAGTAATTTATATTCAATTTTTTAAACAAAAAAAAGTAATTTCTAAGCAATTATAACAGTCCAAACTGAACGACAATCGTTTACGTCTAATTAGCCTATTCTTCACGTTTTTTTTTTCAAATTATTATTTCATCATTTGTGAATCAGCCATTACTATTTACTGCCGTATAATAAATAGATAGAACTCAATGACCATTGAATACCGCTCGGGTTATTCAATGGTTCAAGAGAGTGTATCCCTGCGCAGGGATAAACTCGAGTTAACCATTGAATAACCCGAGCGGTATTCATTGGTCATTGAGTTCTGTTTTTATTCTATAACTACATACAAATCTCAAAATACACTGTACTATCCAGATTATCAAAAAAAAAATCAGCACCAATAACGTTAGAATTCATCATAAGTTCCGCCCTTTTTTCTTTCTTTTTGACAAAAATTGTAGTTGCCTAGTGGTCACGTCATTACTGTTTGACGTAATTCTGAAAGTGACGTCATTCTGGACAAAATTAGTACGTTTTTAAGCCACTGAATTCAACCATAGGTTATTCAATGGCTGTATTCAATGGCTGTATTCAATGATATTTGCTTGTATTTGCATGTAGTTATAGAATAAAACTACGAAACTCAAGCGATTTAGTTTATCGATACGCATTATTTCCACTGAAGCCTGGGCTAAATCTATTTGTTAAGGCCAGCTGAATTTTCGTCAAGGTCGCTGCGATGTAAATAAGGTTAGGGCACGTGATTGTTGGCGAGATTGTAGGTTAGGGTTAGCGTAAGCATTAGGGCTAGGTCGAGGGTTAGGATTAGGATTTGTTTAAAAAATTGGCGCTTGAAGTTGGCCTTATCAAATAGATCTAACTCTGAAGCTTGCGAGTAAATCAAATGCAAAGGTCACGAAAGCACCATGCAAGTTTAAGGCCAAACCACTGATACATTTTTGCAACGAATAATAGGCAATAAACTCATTTATTCCATCTCTCTATGACTGTCTGATCATGTGCAAACATTGCTAAAGCGTGTGAAACTCTTCCCATTGATATTGTAACCGTTGGTTCAACTATATTTAAACTAAAATCAATTAAAATTGCATTTTAAATTATATTCGTGAAACGCATAAAATTTAAAACTTCATTTTGATTTTTATTAAAATGTATTTTAGTGATTTTAACTTAAGGGTTTGTGAAGCAGGGAAAAGGGGAATAAAAGCATTAATGCTTGAAAAATTATTGTGTTTGTATTCTCCCATCTGGCGATTTACACTAGTGATAATATATGTCACTGTATCGTCACAACTTCTGCGAGAAATATACCAATAGACTATTCAATACACTCCTGAATTATGACCGTTACGGTTTTCACAAAAAGAATTATGGACAGAGGACTAATGAAGGGCATAGGCTACGACAATACATGTTCAGCTCGAATGAGTGCGTATAGAAAAAACTTACTGCGGCGAACATTGAAATCCACCATATTTGCAACTAATCATGAAGGTCTTCAAGGAATGTCCCACTGAAATAGCTAAACTCTTATTTACTTTTGCTGACAAATATGCATACTTAAACGAAGCATCGAACTCTGAATCTGTCGTATTGTAGAACCCATTCACGCTTTTCTCGTCTAGGATATCCCATTGATTAAAACCAGTACTGATATAGTTCTCAAAATCGGCTGTAGATGATGTCGTCGTCGTCATCATCTGGTGGCCTTCTGTGGAGTTGTTAACATTGTTAACTGGATCCGAACTCGAACCCATAATCTGACCGGACCCCGAATCGTGCCCTGGACCCATTCCTAGAAATAAAAGTTGTATACAACTTTGGTACAAAATTCTGTTAAATTCTTAACTCAAATACCCAAGGTTACAAATTAACCCAAACCTGTTATTTTTAATATACTTTATATACTGTATATACTTTAATTTAAAGATAATGTTCTTACCCATAGCTTCCGAAAACATTTCCTTAGCGGCATCATATAGGCTGTTACCCTCAGAAAATTGATCTTTCCGGTAACTTAGCATTTGGTCAAATGGAGGTGAAAAGAGAGCTGATGATCTGACAGGGTTCATATTGCACACAGTAACACTAGGAAAATCCAGTTCTGTCACACTATTTATTTCTATTTTTACATCTGACGGATATGAGAAATATCTGAAATAAGATTTGATGCATACAATTAAAGAGCAAGGTTAACGACAACCTTTATCACATGGCAAGTTAAATTCAAAAGAGTTAAACTTCTTTCAATTAGTTTCAATTAGTTAAGAGCATCGATACCGCTGCAATATACGTCCACATTCCTGGGGGTCATGGCATGCACCAAAATAAATAATTGCAAAGTTCCAAGATGATCCATTCAAAATCGCAGCGTGCAGACGATAAACAAATAAATTCGGCGTGGCTCTGTCCCTGAGGGTTGGATATGGAACAACATAAATAGGTACAACCCTATGTTGGATCACGCCGAATTTGACCCAAATCTGTTGATAATTGCAACCTGTATATCATTTACAGACAAAATATTAACAAAAAGTGGGAGTGGAACCGCCTAAAGAGGGGGATGGGGAATCATGCACCAAAATCAATAGTTACCGTCCTTAGGGTATAAAGAATAAGTATACCAAGTTTCAAGGTTATCCATTTAGAATTGTGGCCTTCAGACTCTAAACACAAAAAAATGGGCGTGGCATAAACAGGAGAAATAAATTAAAAACACCACAAATTGGAATAGGGGCGTACACCAAAAGCAATTGTTGCCGCCCTTAGACTATAAGGAATACATATGCCAAGTTTCAAGATTATCCATTCAGAATTGTGGCCTGTATACGATAAACACAAAAATTGGGCGTGACTCTGCCCCTGGGGGTCGGGATATGCACCAAAATCAATAGTTGCCATCCTTAGGCTACAAGGAAGAACCCGATACATCCCCACAAAATATTAGATTGATTCAGTTGATACCGACCTTAAAAATTGGAACAAATATATTTTAGTTCAAAAATAAGCAAAAAATGTGAAATTTTGGAACCAGATTTGGGTGATCTACTATTCGGACAATAATTAATTTGGACAGACAAAATATTGGGCATTAGTAGGACAACTCGGGCTCCTACCGAGTTTGAAGTTCTACTGCTAATGATACCCAACTCGCGCTGAAAATTGAATTTAATGAAAACCGAAGTTTGCAGGGGCATGGATCAAAGTTTAATGTTACCCACATATAGCAACCTTCCTACTAACAAAATAGAAAATGACTAGAAAGGCATAAACAGGAGAAATAAATTAAAAACACCACAAATTGGGATAAAATGTTACGTTTATAATACCCCAAATGAAGTATATGTATGGACACCTTTACCAATTAATTAATTCCATTTAGTCGTTAGCAAGGATAATTTAGGCATGGGAAAAACAGAGTAAAATGAGAATTAGCGTTCACTGGACACAAACTAGGTCGTCATTATGAGACTAACATATAATGGTGATGCATATCTATATACATCTTTACAAAGCTCATACATGTATATTCCATTCAGTCGTTAGCAAGTGTGATTTTGACTTAAAAGAGAGAAGTGGGGTTTTACGTCCACTCCACACAAACTGGGTCATTATGGGACTAAACTATGGTACAATTTTACTTCGATAATTCACTTGAGCGAAAAGAGAAAATCCACGAGGTGGGACAAACAACACTATACCGTGTCACCTGCAAGCTGTCACACCACTTAACTAAGCTTATGTGTTAGACCAGGGACAATATAAATCATCTTATATGAATATGATATGGTAAGCATTATTCCATACTGAAATACCCGAAGGCGAAGAGAGCATAGGCCAAAAACAGTACTACAAAACAAAACAGCACTCTGGGGTCCAAAAACTTGAGGGAAGGTCAGAGAGCATTTACATTCAAACATAGGAATCTAAGTAAGTGAGCACTTCTGCTCGAACGTCGGAATATGTAGGAGATAGGCACATGAGGTCAACATTATCCCGGAGTGCCATAAATCCTGTTGTGATCTATGCCATCTTTCCCTTCAGTGATTTCAATACATGAACACTTCTAAATGTTTCTTCTTATGGTTCTTTTTTTACGTGAGCAGGTGGACAAGAGATATATCAAGTTTATGATAGTCATGCCAGTCAATAAATCTATAGGATGATCTGCTCCTAAATGCAAAATTATACACGAATTATGACTCTTTGTTATGGCTATCAAAGTCAGATTTTGACACGAGGTATATAGAAGTAATGGTGATAATCGGTAGTCATTGGGAGATAATCGTTGCTGAAAAGACACAGCTTTGGTTAAATTGTGCTGCTATAAAACCTTGCCATGTCAGCCCATACAGTTATGCACTTCCGTGTTACTATTGTGGGAGAGTGATTTTATTGGGGAATATTTTAAAGTCACCAATACTAAGTTTTAAATGTTAGATAATATGTTCCACTTCACTAGCTTTAGCTATCCTGTGTTTCTATCGACTTTCTATCCACTATCTTAAGTTAGAGTGACTTTCTTCTCACTTTTGGTATCTTGTCTTGGTTTTAACCTTTGAACCTGAGTATATTGTGGTCAGGTGATTTGGTATCCAGGGAATGTTTGGACACTTAGGTAATAGAGTTTGAGGCAATAGGTTGACTATTTTCAGTTCTCCATATTGCAACTTATTTCTGAATAGTCATAGTTTAATTAGCTAGTTTTAGATATTTCATTTCTAATATAGTTTATATAGAAGTTAGATTAAAGTATTCAATAGTTCCAGTGATTGCCAGGTAGGGTATGTATTATATTGTTTTATGTAGTTTTATCATAGTTTTCAAAGTCTTGGTCATGTTGGACATATAGTGTCAGACATATTGGATTTATAGTAAAATGTAAAGTTCCTTGGGTTTAGTAATGGTTTATAGTTAGTATATTATACATTTCACCACTTTCATTCAAATATACTTTTAAACATCTATTGCATATTCACACATTCATATATTTTATTACAGATCCTTCAAAGGTACTTCACCTTTGACAGTCTGTCTAGCCAGCAAAACCCCTCTCTAGGGTAAGCTACTTATTAAGTGTTTAGTTATTTAGATTATTTAGATTGGTATTATTACATACATATACTTTAACTTGTAGCTGTCATACAAGTTAGCAGGATGAAGTTAATTATATAGGCAGTATTTAAGATCGTGTTTAAGTGATTAAGTAAAATGGATTTATAGATAGGCCTATGTAGCATGTATCTAGTATGTATATTTCTACTACTAAAGTTATGATGCTATTATTAATTTGTAATTGTGTATAGATATAGATTTTATCAATTCAACATATGTATTATTATATATATTTAGTCTTATTTATTATGTATTTCAGGGTTTCTGTTATATCTGAATAAACCGTTGAATCGAACCCTTGGTGTGGTTTTTTTTACAACTAGAGAATGGACCCCCCGTAACACTATAACTACTGAATACAGATGAACATAATCGTTGCCTGATCCCGCAAAATTATACACCAGTTACGCCTCTTTCCTACTATGACCGCGAACGTCCGATTTTGTCACAAAAACTTCAAGATTTTTATCCAAGATAGCATATTTGGCACGAGGGACGTTCAAGTAACAAAATATAGTAGTAATATTGTAATATTGATAATTAAGTCATGTCTGATATTTTGTTGACGAGACATTCGATCAATTACATTTTCTCTTCTGTATATAAGATAATCCTGAACAGTTTTTTTTTATATAATTATTAAATGAGATTCTAAAAGTGAATTATTAGGGAAAACGCACCGCATAACCTGATAACCGCTTGTAGTAGAACCATATCGCAAAATAGTTCCAGGTTTTGACTGGATTAAAGATACTATTCAATTGCGCAACATAATAAATTGACTTAGCAGAGTTCGATATAAAAAAAATGACAAGAAGAAGTTTCTGTTAGAGCCACGGCTATATCCCTATTAAAAGTCAAATCGGAATCTAACCACGGCGAGTCCCTAGTAACTCACAATTTTTTAAAAAAATGACCGAAATAAAACATAAATCTACATTTGGTACAGAATCAGGATATTTCAAATATTTCTAGAACTTTTGATATGATGAATTTTCATAGCTCACAAATGTTTTCATACTTTAACATTGAAAAGCGATATTACAAATAACAATATAACGCTCATACAATTAATAAAAATGACAAATGACTTTTTTTATTCAATTAGTACAAATCAGTATTGCTACACTTGTCAGAAATACGATTGGAATAGATGAAAGATAAGATCAAACTTTATTGTACTAGAACATCCACTGAGACGAACAGAATACTATTATACAAAGGGAGGAATTTATAAAATGGTTGATTAAAAAGCTTATCAGAAATGTTCGTAAGAAGTCCATACAATACAGTGTTTGTTATAATTGCCGACATTAGATCTACATTAGTCTAATTTCAATAACTTACACCAATCAGATTTTCACAGATTGTCATTTGAAAGTTGTGGATTGAACTGAATACAACAGATTGTAGTCAAATAAACTTGACGTAGATGTGAGCGGAGTAACCAACAAAATATAGGGGCCTCTGGGTGAAATTTAATGTTCCTTAGATAATAATAATATGCATATAGCACATAGTCTCCTGTTATAAGTCAGATAGGGCCTAGATAATCTAAAAAAATCTCATCTATAATTCATATTTTAGTATTATTCATGAATGTTTTGGACGTCGTTAAATATGAATATAACAACTGAGATCGACAGGTAATTTAGTTATTTATTAAAGAAGTCAGCATTCCGCCAATATCCAGAAAATGGGAATAAAATTATTTTTCCAAGTCCCGATATATTTATTGAGAAAATAAAAACTATCCGTCCCTTATTAGTTGTTACTAGTGTAGATATGAACGACTTGCCTTTGTTATGCCCCATTGACAGTTTCACGCATTTTGAATCCGCAATGGTAATCATTAATGCGTACCAATGCGGATGGATATGTATATTTCATCTGTCAATCAAATAGTTCGTGCCGTTGCTGACCAACCTTTGCTCATAGTACGCAAAATCTGTCCGCACTGGTGCGCATTCGTACCATGTTAGTTGTCTGTCATGTATCCCGCACCGTCCATCATTGTCCCGTTGCAGTACGCAATATCTGCGGATAGTTTGCGCAGGGGACCGCGTACTAACTTGCGCTATGGTACGCCAATTCCTGCACTGTCAGGTATTGGTTACGCTAGTGTACTCAGTTTTAAGCATGCGTGACCATTTTGTGAGTCATTTTATGGCACGCACTGGCACGCTTCATAGAAATAGTATATATAAAGGAAAGGTATTGGGATATGGTCCATTCCGTCGGCAACTCTTCAAAATGATGAACTCCAGAGACCTTGAAGAAAGGAACCTTACTTTGCAAAACGTACATCTTTCAGCAGCTGCTGGTCTACTACTTTTGGAAGAAGATGAAAGTGAACGAAATATTGTTCTACAATCAAAACCTGACACCGACAGACCGTCTGCCTGCAGCAAGAAAAGAAAAGTCAGGAGACTCTGGGTGAGGCAATGGTTGACAAGGAGACAACGTTTTGGCCATTATGACCAGTTATTGTCGGAACTACACAAGGAAGATCGCAGAGGTTACCGGAACTTCCTACGTATCACCCCCGAATTGTTTCAAGAGATGATTGAAAAGTTGACCCCACACATGAAGAAGAATAAAACATTAATGAGAGAACCTCTTGAAGTTGGCCTGAAGTTAGCAATCACACTCTACCAGAAGTATGTAAAGCTATCGTCAAGGTCTACAAGCCAGAAGTATTAGTTTGTCCTAGAACAGAAGACCAGTGGAAGACTATTGCTGAAGGTTTTAGAAACAGATGGAATTAGCACAACTGTCTTGGAGCCGTTGACGGCAAGCATGTTGCTATGAAGAAACCCCCCTCGGGTGGATCCTTCTACTTTAACTAAAAGAACTTTCATAGCATCGTGCTCCTTGCAGTGGTGGATGCTGCGTACCAATTTCTGTACCTTGATGTTGGAGCGGAAGGTGGAGCTTCTGATGGTGGAACATGGAGCAACTGTACGTTATACAAAAAGTTGTGAAAACGTGGAGGCCTCTGATTGGTGCGGCGTCTGTGAGTGAAGCAAACCTGCCAATGAGTATATGAGAGTAAACTATGAGCACCAGTGAGTAAATTATGAGCACCAGTGAGTACACTATGAGGATCAATGAGTAAACTGTGAGCACCAATGAGTGACACACGTCAAGTGGCGGGAAGAATTCCTGACCACTGGCAGATACCTACATCAACCCATGAGCACCATTGCTGATCTTGTCGTACCAGTGATGAACCTTGCGCACCAATGCGTGACATTGAGTACCCCTGAGTGCGTGACATAATTTCCATTGACACTTTTACGCACCGGGTATGCATAGTTTGCGCATAGTTTACGAAAATGGTACGCCCTGGAGTGCGTGGCATGAGCTTGGACAAATCCAAGGTTTTGGGTCGGCACTGTCACGCATGGCACGCAATGGTACGCATAGTTTACGACTGTTTCCCGCGATGGTACGCATAGTTTCCGTCTTGGTACGAACTTTAGCGTACCAAAGCGTACCACGATTGCGTGAAAGTGTCAATGGGGCATTAGTTGTTACTGTATCGGCTAACAGCAGGCCCCAAAGGCGCTGAGTCGATCCTTGCCACTGCTACTAGCATGTTAAAATGACTACCAACTTTCTACTACTAGCAGGTTAATAAAAGGCGGGTCGGGTTGGGTAAATGAACTCAATAAACATCTTAAAAGTTTATGAATTGGGCTTCACATTTATATTATATCAAATTAAAAATAAATCCAATCTTATCTTATTATAACGCCGATATAACACCAATTAAAAAAACTTACCTGTCTAAGAGTTGATAACATTGGAACGTTAACCACCCAAGACAAAACAAAAATGTTAGAAACCATGCCAATCTTTTAAACACACTTGTAGCTCGATATATATTTACTATCGCAGTGAAACTGGTGTCCTTACAAAAACTTCCTAGTTGTTCCCGTAAACGTACATTTTCTGGTCCATGTATCTTTGGCCAGGCTGTTGTTTTTGATTGCTCCATAGTGGGAGTAACCATTAAACCCCGATATCCTGAGATTTCCTTCAAAAGGTTAATGTTAAGTGTAAATTTCAATTTTGATAAACTAAATTCATAACATAATTAATAGGCTGTCGTCACATCAAAATATGTACTTCTGATCATACCGTATCTTTTAAGCGATTACTTGAACGGTCAAATAAATAGAATGGCAACGCATTTGCAAGCCCCAACTGTATCTATCATAAATAAAGCTAATCTTAACTCTGCACATTATCAATTGGACTATATAAACCCCTCACGTTTTTTTTTTTATATCCAGCTAACTGTTTGTATCAGATCGATAAAATCCGCACAGCAAATCACGACGCGTTATATAAATTAAAGAGTTAATATGTTGTGGTGTATTAAAGATTTAACGTCCATTACATTAAATATGATATTAATGACCGGTTGATTTAATTAAATTATTTACACTTAATGGGTTGAAGTTGGTAAAAACACCAAATAATAAAGTCCGTGTATATCAAAAGTCGCCTTAAAAAGTCCTTGTATATCAAAAAGTCACTTTAAAACACACTTATAAAATCGCTGTAGTGAGAAGAGAGAGTGAGAGAGAAAGAGAGAGAGAGGGGGGGGGGGCATCTTCTCCTTTTGTCATAATAAAAACAGTTTAAAATAGGAGGCCCAGCTGACCGATGTTCGCGTGGGGAAAAAGAATCCGCTTGCTTGCTCGCGGTAAAAACCACATAGCTGGACTGGTTTAAAGTTAGTTAAAAGTCCTTTAATATTACGGTTCACAACTTCAGTGTTTAAAAGTTAAAGACATTCCATTAGGGTTTTTCTTACCTATGACTCTTCCTAGACAAAAGTTTCCTGAAAAGAAAAAGAAGAGCCAGCAGCAATTAGCTCAATTAGAAGGAGAGTTATTGTGTCCCAAAAAGTGTGACGGACAGGCAGACAGACAGACGAACCCATTTTAATAGCCCCCTGCTTTCTTCGAAAGGCGGGGGACAATTATATTATTATGTCGATCAAGATACCACAAAGAAAGTAGGCTAGGGCATATACTACCGCATTACCCTATGGCTAGGGTAAACTTGTTGGAATTAATAGTTAATGATATATTTTCGCCGATGAAACGTGAACATCAATAAATGAAGCGAAAGGTTATCGAGAATCGAAGGACTGTGATACTGATAGTGATAAGACAAGATACTCTGACCTAATCCGAACACAGCCTGTAGCGATTGTTCTTCTTCGCTAGAAATGATAGAATGTTCCGAACCATCATCGTCAGCGCTGTTGCTCGCATTTCTAATTGACCCGTTATGATAGGGAAGAACATTCGGGGCGAAATCAATGTCTGACAAGCTGTCAGTTTCTGCCGATGCCGAATTGAAATATACATCGACTGCTACACGAGTGTAAATGAAAATGAAATGAAATGGGGTTTAACGTCCTACTGTTCTGCTCCTAACCTGGGCTATGTCGCCTCTTACGTCATGTCACGTGATTTAGCTTCCGAAAGTGTTTTTTAACGTTATTTGTTACTAAAACTTCTTTAAAAAATAAAATCTGAAATGCATTAATGATTGTTTGAATTGAGTATAACTTAGTAGTAAGTGCAGGGGGGCTGCACACAAAATTTATACAAAAACAAATACACGGACAGGACATCATACTCAGGAAAACACAAACATACAGACAATTCAAAAAAAGTGAATGGATCCGGGGGCTAGCCGTAAGCGTCCACTGCGCTGTACAGTCCCGGGTCTGTAGTGATACAGATTTCACTCAAATTTGAAAACAATTAGGAATACAACCCAAAGAACCCATTGTGTAATGCCAGCATGAGTCATGATCTGCTATATGCTACACGAAATACGAATGTAAGCATATGTAGTAAAATTCAACTATACAACAAGTAACCACATCGGTGAAATGTATAAAAAAGTAGTCTAAACTCTTAAATTCAATAAAGAAAACGCTTCAGTATTCAATACATATAGGGTACATGTTCCATCGTCACAAAAAAATCAAAAACAAAACTGAATACAAAGAAGTAAGTAGGAAATGTCGACTTTCTCGAGGGACAGCCGTCTGCTGACAGAGAATGGCATCATATCTTAGAAGGTGATAAAAAAATCACAATAATAAGGGCGATAATCCAGATAAAATAACGTTAAAAGCTTAAAAACCATAAGTTCTAGCGACTAATCGGAATTATTAAGTTATGTAATTGTACAATATATAATATATTAATATAATACCCCACACAAGAAATGCAAAACAGGTATGTTGAAGAAATCGTACAATGTAAGTGTATTTATAAAGGCATAACATTAACTCTTAAGTGACCCAGAGTTTTGACGTCATAACGTCAAAAAACCCACGTCATAGTGGTCAATAGTGGTAAAATAGACTATATATTTTAAAGTCATCTCATTAAAAAACAGTGGTAGATAGACACTTCGGGTAAATGAATTAAATGATCTAGATTTAATGCCATTTTCATAAATATAAATTTAAGGCCAAAAATTACAATAGAAAATGCTATAATTTCGATACTTCGGGCAAAATTCACGTATTCACGTGATATTCATTTTTTGGCCGTTGTGAACTAAAAATCATTCGTCGTTAATCATTTTTATTTATTTAATACATTCAAATGCCGTTGTATCTAAATATTTTTTACAATTATATCATAGAATTTGGGGAAATTCTAGACTTTAGATAGATTTGAAGAGACATGACGTCACACAATTAGAATTGGCGAAAATCTGGTTGACATCGCACTTGTGACTTAGCTCTAACCTAACGTTTTACCTTTTGCGATGCAATTATTATATTTAGCCGGTCTGGTTCACAATAACAACTATTCATGTGTTCTAATTCCCCAACTTTACTATATTGTCTTTTATTAAGTACAGACTGGCCGCACCTGTATATTTTGGATTTAGGCCTACGTTTCTGATTTGTATATTATGTAGAATATAAAATGAGCATAGTATTAGTAGACGCAATCACATCCTGTAGTCTACTGCACGACCCGTCCCCAACCAATCATATTCGGGTGCCGAATCCAAGAACCGCCCCCACGTCGGCAGGAAACCACTGAGCTATAAATAGATCAATGGCGAAAACCTCCAAGTTTATCAGTATCAAAATTATGACGCTTGATTTCCAATTAATTTTACATATTTCAGGGTATATATGATGTAATTGAAGAAAACCAAATGTAGTTATTATTTTCTTTAATAAATCACATTCACAGGATCAAACATAGAGTGCTGTAGGTTAATACAACATGAATTACAACATAATTTAAATTAGCTTCTCCATATGATTATACATGACGATGACACTAACAATAAATATCTTTAGTTTAATTTACAATTATAGTACACATTACACTTACATTAAATATATTAAATATATCAAATTATTAAATATACATTACACAAACAATAAATATATTTAATTTACAATTAAATAAGAAATTATTAAATATAAATAATATTAAATTATTTTTAGTTTATCACATACTATTTGAAAATATTAAGATTGACAATTAACCTATATCAATATCAATTCAATCAATAACAATTAAAATTGCCTAGTAAACTATTACTATTAACAAGAAAATATAATCCTTAAAAGTAAACATATTTACATTCTTACTAATCATCGAAATTTTAATTGTTTAATATTTAACTCTATAATTCTCTAGCAAATGATACCTCTCAAAACAGATTTCAACACACATAGCTTTATTACAATTTTTACAGTACCACCTGGTCTGCTTACGATTATTACTTGCCCTGTCTGAACATACAATACAATCTGGTTTATACTTTTTATTGTCATATTGAGCTGGAAAATGTCTCTCGGTTAAACGTTTCACGCTTTTGTTTGAATAATTATATGTACTACTAATACTATTCCCTCTCTCGCCAATGAGTTTTTCAACAATTTTAAGACGGAATTGCTTTGTGGTTAAATTTTTTTCTGGGTAAGCTAATTTATATGCAATGTGGGCATTTACTAGTGCTATTTCCATTATAAACCCTGAAATGACCTGGTAACCCTTTCGACGTTTATAGTACCGGAATTTTCTTTATTTAATATTAGTTCAGGAGGATATATTTCACTTTTATATTTGTTGAAATTTCCGTTATCATTGATAGGTGTTATGTCATCAATGTATCGGAAGGTATAGTTTAGACTTTTAGCTACTTTGTAATCTGTTTTTCTTTTATGGTCTTGAAAGTCGAATTCGTATTTATATAAATGTGCGTTTGCCATGAATGGGGCGGGGTCAGTTCCCATTGGCAAACCAATGGTTTGTTGCATTATCTGATCCCCAACCTCAAATATGGCATTATCAATAAGGAAATGTATGATGTATTTTGTACACGGTGAACAGTCCATATGCTGATTACACTATTTGCCTTATTACACTATTTTGCCTATACCATTTTTTAGGACTTCGAACTTTGTCTAATGGTTTGGATTGTTCGTACTTGGTTTTATTTTATTTTGAAATTTTTCTTTATCAAAAACTACAGTGTCGGCATTGCGACGTTTTATAATCCATTTAGCATCTTCTGCCTTTCCCGAAAGCTCCATTAAAGGCTTTATCTACAAACCAATCTAATTTATCTTTAAGATCTGCATGTTGAAGCATAGTATACAAAGTAGAAAAATCGAACGCTTCTATTGTGTTTGCATTAATTTTTTTATTGGTTTTTTCTAATGTGTCTACTATAGGTTTATTTTTATCAATTTTGAAAAAAACCTATTAATTCCAGTATAGCTACGAAGTGTTCTGCTCCAATTAACAGGTATCACTTGGTATTCATTTCGTGGAGCGCGATGACATAAACACATTAAAATTAATCGTAAAGGCATGAAGGATTGCAGGATTTTATTTACAATATTACACAATTCCGTAGCGCACCATTTAAAATGTTTTCTGTACACTATGTTCCAATGCCCATAACCATTCACAAAACATTAAACCTTATCCCCTAACTATTAAATACATGGTGATATCCAATAATTGGTCGATATATTACCATTGTTTTTGTTATGATATTTTAGGATACATGGGTTCATATTTCTCTATCATTTTGGAATGCTATGCGTTTAAGGATACTTTTTGATTATTCCATGGTATTAACTGTTTTATATTATTCATAAAACAGAAATCCATTTGCATTTGTTTTTTGCCGATTTGTTAAACTCATTGTGTTAAAAATAAATACACTTCTGTC